ATATAACACTTATATTTTACCAATATTTTGAATTAATGTTTAGCGTCTTTTTCCAATTTAACATATTGCTTAAATTTTAATATATTTGCTCATGAATGTGCATCTATTCTATAGGAGTAACCCAAGTCGTATTCAGTGGGTGTGGCTTGAGCGTGGTTCCTGGAGAAGCCCTGAAGGTGCTAGAGCCGGGTTTGGTTCACTTGGATTTAAGAGGAAACAACATTCGAAATATATCTTCTTCAGACCTTCCCTCCGGTTTAAAATCGCTGCGACTTGATGGAAACAGTTTTCTTCGACTATCTCAGAGCAGTTTCTCAGCTGTTGGAGACTCGCTGGAAACCCTTTATTTGGATGCGATGGGGCTGGACGAAATACCAACCGATGCACTCCAACCTCTTGGAAAATTGCGCAAATTGAACATAGAGAGAAACCAGTTGACTGAAATCACTGCAGAATCTCTACGAGGTATCCGTACCTCCAGTAAAACATTGACTCTGAAGTTAGGCTTCAATCAGATCGGAAAAATCAGCGAAAGTGCTTTTGATGGACTTTTAAGTGGTAATAGTAAACTATGGATAAATGTGGGACTCATTGGTAATCGAGTCAGCGATCTTAATTTTGTCGAAGGACTTGGTTGCAAACTGCGTCGTGTAAGGTTTTATCTTCCAAACAACACTCTGGAATGTGATTGTCACGTCTACAACATCACAAAAGCCATTCCTAGTTTGATATCTAGCAATACAATGTGCGCCAGACCACCTATGTTCAAGGACATGCGACTGGGACCTTGGATGCCCAAAGATACCGACGGCGTTCATTTCATCGATGGAGGTCGATCACAATGTGGAACAGGCAATGAGACAGAGTCAAAAATGTATGACTGTGATTGCGACCTTTGGATCGACTCCTCACAGTTTGATCGCATGGCAGGAAAGTGTAAAACAAGTTTTGCTCTGCCTCATTTTAGTCAATCTGTATTGGTGTTGTTCTTGCTGTCTGTTATGGCATATGTCATAGCATAGATTTATGAAACCAAGAGGCTGTATATGAAGGATTTAGGGGGAAGTATGCGGTTCTTTAAAGGTTACCATAGGTTTTGGAGTTTACTCACACTGTCCTCTATTCCAGGAGCCTGCATCTATGTTGGCCTACACTATATTTCTGAAAACCGCATTCCATAACCCTTCATTTACCATTCTTTTGTATTATTCAGCTTAAAATTTTATAAGATTTTTGTTCCGATTTTCATGGACTATTGCTGAATTTAACAAAAACACCATTCTGTGATTTCTCTGACAGTTTCTGCAACACTTTTCCAGTGGACAGGGACAGTGGTTTATTATGGTAACATAGAATCATATGGTAACATATTATGGAACTCCGTCCAATCACTTTTGCCGCTTAAATCACACTTGATTTTGCATGCTCCATTATGCTCAAAATATCGTGGTTTTCTGTAACTTCGGATCTAATTACTGTTTTAACTTTTGTTTAGATCTAAACTTACATAATGTCTTATTGTTGACCAATTATGAAGACCAATTAATCATTTAAAACATTTAACTTTCAACTTTTGTATATATAAATATCTATACCAATACCTATATTTATGTGTATACGAAACGAGTTAAGGATGACAGAGTCTGCACTTATAAAGTGAGGGGTGGAACTAAGCTGGACGTCACGAACATTTTAAAGGACAAAAATGGGTCAACATGTGTAGAAACCGTTTAGGAGTCAAATAATCTTAATATGCTATCTTTAAGTTTGCAAGTCGGATTTCCCAATGTCCCCTATACTTAAAACAAGATCAAACTGAAGGCTTGTCACGAATCTTGTATGTTACAAATAAAATATTTGATTTCTAAAATATCAAGACTTTTTTATTTCTGCCATGCCATATAGTGGTGTGTTCTAGTTAAGAAACATTGGCTTTGTTTTAACAATGGTCTATAGCACTGTTGCGCGCAAAGGATTGTGGTCGATGTGTGGGTCCAACTTGCCCCGAGTCAAGAGGCCAAGCGTTATCATTCAATAAAAACTTGCTTCGCGCTTTTTTTCCCTTTTTTTTGTCAAATTGTGATACATCTGGCATTACATGTATATTTGCTAAGCAGCTATAGGTTCATGGAGCTTGCATTTAACCTGGTTTTGTTGCTCTAACTCATTCCCAATTCCCAATCTTACGGAATGATGTGATCACATTTTTTCCACTTGTTGCTTTGAATATCATACTCCAGTAGGTGACGAGATGGCCAACTTCCAACTATCCCAAGTCTCCCCTAAGTGAGAATCTCCACTTACTTTTGTATGTAAGCCTTAAACTTTATAATATGCACATTTTACATGAATATAAATCGAGTTCAAGTAAAGTTTATTTAGTTATGATGATAGAATACTGAATAGTTCTGCAGTAGAGCACGTGTTTCGGATGCGCTGTGCAGAGCGCAACGCCTACAATGACCTTGACATTGATTGAAGCTTGCATGATGGCGGCGCCTTCGAAGAGGCGCGAAGTGGAATGCTGTGGTGCGTTTATAATAATTGCTTTGAGAACATTTAAGAATGAAACATAGTTGATTCCGAAGGGGTTGTGATAGCTACCGTTAGTTGTTTCTTTATTTTGTTTTTTCGTAGATGATTGTTTGGTAATAATAATTGGCATGTCAGTTAAGGTTGAACAGGGACCGAAAGGAAATTTTTAATGGAAAATCTTTGATATTTATATGGATTTCTTAATATTTCTCAGTATTAAGCAGATTGGTCGTTTTTGGCATTGTTATGCCATTTCTATGCCACCTACAACAGAAATCTCGGGGGTGTATCGATAGTCTGAAGTTTCATCGGTCCAAAAAATCGTAACATTTTCATCAGTTTTTTTGGTCCGAAGATTCTCTAGTGAGCTTTTGGACCAATGAACCCTCAGACTATTGAACCTTCGGACTATTCGATCCTAAGGCCCCGAAATCGGGGTCATGTCGATACTACCCCGCACCAATAATCCCCCTTAATAAATTTTTGTATTATGCGCATCGATACAACCCCACACCAATAGATCCCCGCATCGATACATCCCCTGTAAAATTCCCAAAGTAGGCGCACCGTTACTCCCCCACACTGATACTTCCCCACATCATTGCTTCCCCGCATTGTTACTGTGGGTGAGTATTTGTGCGGGGATGTATCAGTGCGGGGGAGTATCGGTGCAGGGAAATATAGGGATGTAACCCCGAAATCTCGGCAGTCACCTTGATTGGTTAGAAAACGATTGTCATAAAATCCCCACATGATTTAAAAATCGTATGCATAAACTTTAAAACACATAAAGTGAACTTAGACTGCTATACTAGTCTACCACAAAAAGAAAAAAAAACTATCGGTTTAAGTATTCAAAACAAATGTCATGAAATCTGCATAGGGTTCCATGGAGTCAATAAAATAGAGTTTGCGAAACAAGAAAACTCCCCACATGCATTAAAAATTCAAAATGAAATATAGACAGAATCAAATCACATTCAAACTAACTCCACTTTCACAAAATGCTCTACACAAAATTGTCCCATTCATCGTTTGTAAAACACGGACATTGGTAGAAATCCACGATAAGCGCTTACAAAGTCCTTGACGTTGAGAGAACAGAGTGGCTTTTTTTTGTAGTTTTCAAGCAAAATTAAGAGGCATTTGGCATTTCTTTTGGTTATTTGAAAGTTTATGATGGAATTTGGTTGAGTTAAGTGGTAATTTTTTTTGACTTAATATATAATTTAAGAGATTTGCCATTCCAAGTAGAATTTTGTGAATTTTAAAATGGTGTTCGAGTTATATGTATATTTTGTAGGTTTCTGTGAATTTCTGCTGATTCTCAATGTTCAAGTTTGTTCGATATATAATTCTTGGAATTCATGTGCTGCATAAGATTTTTCTGTTTTTTTTTCACTTGATAAGATTTTAAAGATAATTTGAAATGCTATACTTTTCAGAATCTTCAGAAGCAGTTCCACTGAGTTCGCCTAAAACCTTGTTGACTCTGACTACAAAAATTGTTGCCAAAAATTATACTTGCAAGGAATTGCTGGCTGATGGACTGGTGTTAGATGAGATATTGTTGAAAAATGTAATTTTTTGTGATTGTGACATCTTCCTCTGGAATTACCACTCATACTAGATTTACCTAGAATTGTGATGTGAATTTTAGATTCAAATTAGTTGGAATTGGCTCTATCTGACAAGTGACAATTGCTCCTAAATCTTGGCTTGAAAAGTATCTTGTTTAGGATATTGAATCTTTTAGCAAGGATTTTGAACATAATTAATTTTATGTAATATATATTGTATCAGTAACTTGAAATTAAACACAAAGAGTGACAGAAAGGTAGTCCATTTAGCAAGTGAAAAAATTAAATGAAACTTTTTGAGTTTCTTATTGCTTATTGGTTCTGAACTCTAGTTATTTTCTCTTTGTAAAAAGATTGCCAAAGAAGCATTTCCATGTGATGAGAAGGTATTTGAATTGTATGCAAAGCTGGCCACAGATGAAAATACAGTTGCTAAAGACAGAGGTATTGGAGAATTGGAGTTCCCTGATTTAACAGACAATACCTGGAGTGGTGCCCAAAGGATATTGAGTAAAAAGGAAACTTTTATAAGAGAAGCAATTCAAGTGGGTAAGTAAAGCAGAAGACTGGTATTTCATATGACTGTGCAAATTGTTCATTAAAATCCAACAAATTGAAATTATTATTTTCTTTATTAAATTTGATTTGGATTTTGCTAGAGTTTTGCAGTTAGCATGATGTTAATGCACTGGGTGTGTTAGGCAACAATAATAAAGCTCTTGATACATGCTATTTGCAGGGTTCTTGTATACAGCTGTGGTCATATCTGTGGATTCATTGCAAGTGCCAGAGGTTTCCTTTCCATTTTTGCCTGTCAGAACAGAAAGCTGTGTGAAAAGAAGCCGAGTGTCTATCAACTTTGAAAAGCAGACGGTTGTTTCTGTAAATTGTAGTGCTTGTCGCTTGGTATGGTGTCGTCATGTTATAGCAGCCATATTGTTTCGCATTCGCTTTCCTGAGAAGGTAATTTCTAAAAATGAGGATGATTTAGCCTTTTTCATTTTAAATTGCATTCAATTTTTGTATTCAATTCAATTTTTATCATCATTGGTATCCAGAGACTAAGACCGTATTCACATCGAGTTGAGCCATGGCTCTANACTGTACCCCCTGCAGGGACGACACATGGGGAGGCGTGTGAGAGGCGGAGAGACTATTAAAAGATGAGGCGGTTTTCCTTTCATGTACGTCCGCCATATTTAGTTCGTGGCTTTGTAGAGCCATGGCTCAACTCGATGTGAATGCAGTCTTATATGTTCCACTATTGGGCAAAGGCCATGGTATGCTTCTTCTAGTGTATTCTATCTGTCTTGGGCTTTGGGTTTCCAATTGTTTTTTTTGCCAGTACTTGTGTAACTCTTCCCTCCATCTTTTACTAGGTTTCCTTGCCATCAATCATCAGCATGCAAATTGATTAACTGTCTGTTGAAATATCATGCAATGAATTCTTAAAGTTATTGTAAATATAATCAGGATTTTTTATGTTTTAAGGTACAGTGTCATGCACCTCTGACTGAGACCTTACTGAATCTGAACAGACAACAGCTTCAGAAAGTGATACAGTACACAGTACAGTCAGATCCAGCGTCTACACTTTTTAAAGTGTTTCAGCATATGGGTAAATAATACACCACTTATAAGAATATGTGACAGCTCTTTTTTTCTCATTCTAGTAAATTATGTTGCCATATTTTGGACAAGTTGTCAAAGAAATACCAATTTTGTGTCTTTAAAACATATGATGATTTGACCTACTTCACACACTAACCTTGTCATAGTCAAAGCTTTAAGGTACACAGTATACATTTCAATAACACTGAATAAAGGGTTGTATGTAAATTTCAGATGAAATGTATGAATCCACATCTGAGATAAACCAAACATGCGGGGCTCCTGACCCCACCTTTGTACCCCAATTAGAGGGTGACATATTGACTCTGCAGACGCTAGAAAAACTGAAAAGAAATGTTATTTCCAAGCTGAAGGTGTCCGCTGGGCTTTGGAAATACAGATTGCTTCCTGAGTAAGTTTCACTGTGTAACATAACTGGTTGTCTTGTTGATTATATATATTTATATATATTGCTTTAATGACAATTTTTATTTAATTTGGTATTTTACCCAGAGTTTCCATATTGCACTTTTGTATTGCACCTGACTTAACAGACATCTGTTTGGTTGATTTGGATTACCATTTTCCAAGTTCACAGTTCACACATGGGCTTGAAATAAGTTATTAAAAATATGATAGCTTATATCATGGCATTGTTATTGTACCACCAGCGCGACACCAGTATCATAAGAGAAGCAGCCATTAGATAACGAAACTGAAAACTCTAATTCTGGAACCAAAAGTGCTAGAGACCTATTGTTTTTTTGCATTTTGTAGAGCTTTTCAAGAGCAATACTGGGAATGGTGTCTGTTTTTATACTTTTTTCTGCGTAATGTCTGAACATTTGAGTTTTGCCACCTTGTTTCCTGTATGGTGTCTGTATATTTGTCAGCTTTGCTGTCTAGTTGTGTTTTCCATGCAGATGCGCTTACTCCAGCTGGTGGTACAATATCTGGAGGCTGTATCGCCTTTGATTCTTTAGTTTTGAAATATGCTTATTTGTTGGAAGGAGCATGGCTGCTAGATACGATCCAGAATGCCTCCTGCTGAGTGACTTGAAGGAACATATTCACCAAGTAGAAGACCTATTGAAAACTGGAGCAACATTATTAGCAACTAAACTGCTCATTCTCCTCACAGAGGCGGTGTTTGAAGGTATGTTTGAATAGTTAATTTTGGTATTTTAGAGTATATTTAAAAAACATCTTTTTGTGATGTTTTAAATTTTTTTGAAATTGAAGATACTGTAAAGTATTGTGATTTAGTGATAAAACCAAAATGTATTTAACTAATGATTACATGATATTTACAGTGGCTGAAGACCCTTCAGTTACAGAGAACAAACTGCTAGTACATTTATGCTACAAGATGGAAGAGCTGTTTTCTGTAGCAGTTATGCTCCCAAACAATGAGCAAAAGCATGATCTTCTAATTGCTGCAAAAGAATTTAGGAGGTACATACATCAGCACAACCTTTTTTCTCCTAATATTTATACTTTTATATTATACTTACCCTTTTGATACCTTCTTTTAAGTGCATTATAATATTCAATTTTGCATGCTACATTCTCCTTTTCAGTAGGTAAGTTATCATAAAGAATTGATATATATATATAAACATGCAAGTTGTGGAAAAGTTTTATTGCTTCATCAGAAAAAAATTTAACTAATTGAGTTTATACTCTTTGAGTTGGTTAATTTTTTTAAACCAGTGAGCCTAAAAAAATTTTAAGGTAGTACCATGAAATAATATCTTTCTTTAAAGGCGTGGGAAGAATGTTCCAATCTTAAAGATAAGAAGAATGGACTGGAATCAGGTTCCTGGTTTGGACATTCCTGTGGCATTGGCACAAGAAGAGCCATCATTACTGTTTACTGATGCTCTACAGGCTGCAACGCTGAACTGGGATGTCAAAGGTCTCCAAGATGTTTTGGATGGAAAGGCTAGTTACAGGTACTTCCTTTTTGAGTATGAACAGAATCGGCCTGATTTGTGTACATTTATGGTAATGATTCTTTTTTTTTTTTTTTTTTTTTTTTTTTTTTGCACAATTTTGGTGATCCTTGCCTCATATTTAAGTGACAAACTGTATTTCTATTTTACTTTTTTTGCTGAGTGGCTTTGTTTGGTAAAAAGGTTTGTTGCTTCTGAAAATCTGCAGGATCGGATAACAATTACAGTAATTTTTTTTTATTTTTGCACAATTTTGGCAATTGATGGTTGCCTCCATAAGTACCAAACAATATTTTTGTTTTAGATTAAATTTATTGAGTGGCTTTGTTTATAAAGTGACCTGTTGCTATCTACATTGGCTATGTGCTAGCAATCCATTTATTTGAATTATTTGTTTAATGATGTGAAATAAAGAAAATCTTTCTAAAGTTTTTTTTCCAAAGAAGTAAATGTCTTTTTCTACCTAAGATGCATGACCTTGTTTAAATGTTGCAATGAAGTTTTTTTTATGTTTAGTGTCTGTATATTGGTCAGCTTTGCTGTCTAGTTTTGTAACATCAGAGCAACACCTTAGTGAAAGAAAGGACTGTCACTTGAATATTTAGCATGTGTTATTGTTTAAAAGGTGCTGATTAAGGAATGATGATTAGCATTTGTAATTTTCTACTAATTGAGTGACCTATTTATTATCCATTTAGAGACACGGTCTATGAAGAGCCTATCCCTGTTGTGATGTTAAGGATAAAGACTTTGTTTCTGATTGGTTCTACTGACCAGGCTGAGAGGCTATCTCAAATGGGGATACAAATGCTTTTGGAGATCTCAAACGAGGTACATGTAGGTTGTAAGCTAGAGTACATTTGTACATGTTGGCCTGCATATCCCATAACCTATGCTTTATTGAGCACCTGATATTCAATTTTTTTTATGCTTTATGTTGTTATCTTTTAATTTTGTTTTTTTTTTTTACCAGTAATTGCAGTATTCAACATAATGCAAAGTAATGCAAAGTAATGCAAAGACAATTTTGTTATGATACACACATAAGTTTTATATATAATTTTTCACCTTTTGCTTAAGGAACAAAATATTATAGCATTAAATATGTGTAAACTAGAATATTGTCTGCAAAGGTTTTTGCAGCTATAGCTAGGTGACTTAGGTATCTTGTCAGTACTATGCAATTTTATATTTGTTAGTATTCCATTATCCCAACGGACTCTCAGCAAAATTTCATACAGCCCCAAAACACTGATGTGAAACGAGTGACAAGATCTATGATGAAGAATGCTGCATCAGGGAAAAGGACAAAAGCAAGTAAGCTAGGTTATCTTTCTATATGATGGTGACTAAATAATTATGGTAGTTTAAGAATTTAAATAGGAGGTGGAGTTGCTTTATTGTTTTAGTTGTAACGGAAAAGAAACTAGGACAGAGTGCTTTGGGTACATTTTTGGTAAACATTTCATTTTTTTTTTGTAATTGATGAATGAATAGTTTTCTCTCTTTCATTTTCAGGATTGACTGTCACCAAAAATAAAAGAAAATCTTACAAACAGGGGAGTATGCTCTCATCTTCTCTGGGTCCAATGCAGATTGTACCTTGCCTTCTTAATCTCTGTGAGGGTATTAAAGAACTTGCCCTTGAACATGAGACAGAGCAGAGCAGTTGGTTTCTCATTTGCCATGCCTTTTTGAGAGTATTAGATCTTGCACGCTACATGACCAGAATAATTAGCAGCTTTAGCTATGGCAGAAGCATACATATGCAGAAGTTGGATAACTTCCTTCTCTGGAACTGCCCTGTGATGGCAGAAATTGCAGCAAAGGCCACTGACAGCATTCTGTCTTGTGACATGAGGTGCTGGACCCCTGTTTGTCCACTGTATCTGGTACAGTTCCTGGTGGAAGTTGCAAAGGAAAATCCTCAAAATTATCTCACAGACGTAGAAGAAAGGAGATTGAAGGTGGTCCAACTATGCCAACAGGTGTTGTGCTATGACAACCTCCTAGAAAAGCAAGGGAGCAGGGATGAAGAAAGCATTTTGGACATGATTGCCCATGCATTTAGAGATGGATTGAGAGTACATCAGAAAAGAGAGCAAGAGTGGCTTAAAGAAGTGAGTTTGTGGTAAACGCAACCCATATAAAGTAACACAACATGTTTTTGATTTTTAAATCATGGCCTTTTTGATATGCATAAAGAGAAGTAAGGATTTATTTATACACATGATATTTGGATATGTCCATTTTTTATTATGTACAGACACAGATGTGTCTGTACATATTGCCATCACCTGCGTCTGTCGTCGCCGATGCCGATGCCGTCGCCGGCGCCGTGCACTTTCCTTGTAAACACGATAAGTGGAGGGCAGTTTTACTTTTTGGCTTAATATTTACAGAGCTGATGAATATTCATAAAACGCAGGTCAAGTTCGAAAATCGGCATGATCGGGTCATTTTAAGGGAAGTTATGCTGTTTTTTCACTTTTTTCAGCATATATGCAACCCTGTAAACACATTTTAAGGAAAACCGTTAGGCCTGTTGTCATGAAACTCACAGAAGTAATCAGTCTTATGAAAACGCAGGTCAAGTTCAAAAATCGGCATGATCGGGCCACTGCTTTAGTAGTTATGCTGTTTTTTTCATTTTTCAGCATATATGAAACACTGTAAACACAATATAAGAAAAACAGATAGGCCAATTGTCATTAAACTCACAGGAGTGGTCAATCTTATTAAAATGCAGGTTGAGTTCGAAAATTAGCATAATCGGGGCATTATTTTAGAAGTTATGCTGTTTTTTCACATTTCCTCAGATTCAACTCTTAGGCATGTTAACA